GGGATAGTCTGGCCAGCATGGCCACACTGGTCGCCGATGATAGTCGTGATATACCGAACGAGGAATTCAACATGTAAAGCTGATTATGAAAAGCTCTATGCGGCGGCTGCTGTGATCAATCTGAAGTGGTCTCGCCAGCTGAAGCGATTAATGATAAACGTAACGCGCTGACTAGCACACATCACTTGCACACACCTCCACAAGAAAGCAGGACGGGCAATATGAACGATCTTTTTCTTTCACTGATACTAGCACGTGAGCAAAAGAAAGCAAAACAGAATAAACGTTTACTGAAAGAAACGTTACAATCACTTGTGGTTACTTATCGTGCTACCCTTTGATTTCCAGGTAAAAAAGGGCGGGATAAATGGATGGGAAGGTGGGAACCCTATTGTGGACCCTGATAATTTGAAATATTTGTAAAAACTGTGTAAAGTGTGATAACAAGTTTTTGGCGACCTTGTAAACCTGGGAGAACCTGTGTTAACTAATCCTAAACAATCTTTATTGATGCCAATGAATTCGTTGTGCAGGGTTATTCCATTTTAGGTAAGTCAGTTATGCTCGTAAATGTTAACTACTTACAGCCTCAGGTAGCTAGCTCTCACCTCAAGGTGTTGCATGATAATACAGATCGACAGGTGGTTACCATGACCTGCCACGGTATTATTGGGCTTTCACAAGCTCTTACTGTTGGCTTTTGTCTACGAAATTATCTCCTCACAAAGGTTGAGTGGTTTCATTAAGTGAACAAAGTTTTCATTGTACTGAGAGGAAGCTGTCTTGCACTGGACTCTACTAATTCACAAATTTTTTTTGAATGTTTTCAATAAAAGTAAAACCGACTCAAATAGCTGTCCTGTTTGTCATCCATTTGCTGTGACAAATTCACAAGAGCTTGAATTTTCTCGATCTCGTATTTTGTCAATTCAAATTTTGAAAAGTACTATCACTTGACGAAATGACTTTTAAATGCAGGATTGGTTTACAGGTCATCAAAAAGCCGCGAGAAAATTAGTTAAGCTTGTTAGACCTTTGTTACAGCTAATTTAGACAAAATCAAGGTCTAAAACACTTTTGAAAACAATTTATAGCGGTTGCCTGCGATATCTAAACGCAAAATTCAACATCATATAGAGTTAGTTTTACTAGCGAACGTACAGTACTTGTAAATCTACTACGGAACTATCTTCCAATAGTACAGTACCGCTCGAAATACTGATCCTCATAAAATTACGAGTCACAGGATAAACAAACTTTGTTCTCTGGAATATCATATTTGTTGGTTAGGCCATCCCCCTTTTTTTTCAGTTTATTGTCGAATGCGTTTTCTGATTTTGGGTCGGTCGGTCGGAATAGGAAAAAAAAAACAAAAATAAAATTAAAAAAGCAGTCTGGAGCTAGGAGGCCCGGTACCTCAGCATAATATCTGTGGAGCCTGGAAACAACAAGGTGTGGTTACAAAGTCAACATCGCGGCAATGGAGGAAGGAAAAAGTCGACGTTGTTGTTAAAATCAAACGAGAACAGGGAAAATCTAAAAATCTGTAAGGCAAAAAATTGCTTATGTTTCAGATTAAAGTGACGATTGTTTGAAATAATGTGTCATTGCCTTCATTGCCTTCTGTGTAACTTTTTTTTTTTTTT